CATGTGAGAGGTGGAGGAAGGTGACAAATCCTGTCCTCATTATCACTGTATTTACTGCGCTCGTGCTCATAAACCTGTCATTAGCATGTTGACCCTTGAACAGTGATATGCATCAGTAGCCAATTCTAACGTCTCCCACTCACTCAGTAAAGCTGCTGCAGAGAAACAATACAATCGTGTGCATACTGAACGCTTTAGTGCGCTATGCCACTTAATGAAGGTGAAAAGCAACACTTTGAGTTACCGCTGCCTGAACCAATTCACACAAACAAGATTTGTTGTTTAGAAATCCGAAACGCAGAGCTGAGCTGTTTTGCACAGCCTACACTGTTATCTGGAAGCCAGGCTGTGTGAGAGATGAAGAGTCACACTGCCAAGTTTCCCCACTACCTAACACACAAGAATGCTGTCATTTCAAACTGAGGCTGAGTGACAGAGAAGAAAACAAAACTATGTCAGTACCTGAACGTAACATTCACTGTGGCGTGCTAACATTTACACTATTATTCTAAGGTCTCACACTACTTGTACTAATACTGCAACAGGCATTACTGCATGGCAACAGCTGCTAGAGTGGATTCAGACAATAAAACATTTTAAAGGTCCTTTAGTATAAAGGTAGATGTCCGTGTCTTCTTTGATTATAAAGAGTCTAGGTTCTATATAGAACTCCAGAGAGAAGCCTGAGAGATGAGATGTAAAACTACAATGAGATTTTTTGGTTCTTAAAACCACAAATATATCTTCTTACAGATCAATACTTCAAACAAAACACAGGAAAAGTGTCAAATATGGGACCTTTAATCAATTATACTACACTTAGAATCCATATAAGCCACTTCTATTCCAACATCTATTTTGTTGTAGCTATAACTACCACAAACAGTACTGCAATTGACATTTCCACTCCTACTGCTACTATATTAGCACTATTACTATGAATCTGCAGCTTTTGGCCCCCTCGGGGACAGAATAACAGACACAAAGTGACTGCATTTATTTGGTGCATACAGTAGTTAGTGTATAAATGAATGCAAGTCTATTTTTTGTCACTAGAGGACAGCCTTACACAAGCCATGGAAAAGCAATAAAGTAGCTGTCTCCCTCTTAAAAATCCCAATGCTTCTATATCATTCATTATTGTGATTTCATCTCAATTCTATTTGATGTTATTCACATTAAATTTATGCCACAGACAGATGCAAATAAGCAGGCTAGTGTGAGTTTACCCATCAAATCCATGGATCCATTCAAACCCCTAAAAATAAACAATAAACCAAAAAATAAAGCTTTGAATTTTAAACCTACTGCATGCAATCCACCCTTATTCATCCCAGCTTTTTTTTTTTTTTTTTAATCAGAAATGCTCTTGTCTTCTTTGCACATGCTGGTGTTTGCTTTGCAGTGTTTTATTTTTGGGTCAGTGAGTCACACTGTGGCTCATATGGCACAGAGGAATAACGTAAGGTTAGACTGCTCTGAAATGTAACCGCCCAAGGTCACTGTTACGTTGAAGGCAGCAGGCCACAGGCTACACACGCCTGAACAAGGAGAACCACTGTATTTCTCTTCAGTGAGATACAGCTGCTAAAGCCTTCAGCAAAACACCAGGTCTGGAGATGGGGCGATGTGTGCGTGGCAAATTCAAGGGTAAAAGCTAACAAGAAAGTCTCCTGCTATTATTTACACATGTCCACGTCTGAGCTGCCGTCCCTAATGTCGGAGGGGAAACTAATTTGTCCTGCCTTTTTTCTGTTATAGCTTCATTTTTACAGCAGAAACCAGAGAGTGTATCAATCTTATTATTTAATTCTTGGCAGGAAAACAAATAAGTGTTTGACCTTTAACCTTTGTTTTAATTTTTGTACGTTTTTCTCCAGTTTTTACCAATATGTTAAGCAGGTGAAAGAACTGTAGCCAAGACAAATGAATAATAAAGAGTTATCTTTGCTCCTGGGCTTTAATTCAGACAGTGTTTCACTATGCGACAGTCAGCGTCAGTCAAACACTGGGTCCCCTCCAGCACAGCAGCACCTACTATAATTTCTATAATCTGTCTAAGCAGGTTGAGTTAACTTTGAACTCCTTCTGTGCGGCAGAGACAACATTGCTGTTAGAATCCCTCCCTCCACACTGAAACCCCTCGAGGCTTTTCCTTGCTGTCTGTCAACCTTCATGCTTCTCGCTGATGCCTTGATTTATGGGTGTCATAAAATGTGCAACTTTTAATCTTCTTACTGACAAATTCAAGGCTCATGCAGTGTCCCGGTAAATTCTGTTTCAGGATCTACTTTGTCTTTAAATGTGTCTTGATACTTGGACAGATGGACAAACATAGATGACTAGACATCATGTCCAGATATTTCCTGACACTACTATCAACAGGAAATGGCAAATTCCGGTGGCAGAAGGCTTCCCTATTGATCCTCTATGATGCTTCAGTGCTTTGCCTTCACAGCACATAGGTTTCAGTGTTTCAGTTTTTAGCATGCAATACCTGCACAGATTCAGCACAGAAACACAGCCTTGTGGAGGTTGTAAATGCACAACTGAAGCAGACTAACACAAGACACAAAGAGGTAAAGTTAGACTGTGTAAATTAAAGGATTATTCTGGTCTCTTTAAACTCTTCTCTGCGTAGTTTATCTTTGCCCATCGTTACTTATTATAAAACTAGATACAAAGATGTCCGAAACAAACAAAGTGGTTTAGATAATCTGGTTAGACCGCTGGCCTGTTTACAAGCTCTAAATGGTAAGTGGACTGCACTTAAAGAGCTTTTCTCGTCCCATCGACCACTCAAAGCGCTCTACAATACCTGCCACACTCACCCATTCCCTCACACACACATACGCTGATGGAACAGCAATCACTGGCAGCTTGGGGTTCAGTATCCTATCATTTTTGTCGTAACGTTGTTTTGTATTGTATTCCCAGATCTCAGCAGTTACTTTGGTGAGTTGAATGTCATTATAATGAATACAAATTAAGGCTGAATGGCCATGACAATAAGACACAGGTTGTAATAAACATTTTTATCATGCATTAAAATAGCAAATGTGACTTATAACAACTCGTTTTTGTTGGTGTAATGATCGCTGAAATAGTAGATCCCCACTTGTTTTTAATGCGGCACTTTTAGTGTGCTGTAAATCTAGTTACAGTTTATGCACATAATTGATGAAATGTCTTTTTGAATGAATGCTGGGTTCTAATGTCACCCATGTTAAGAAATAGAGAAGTGATTGTTTGTATGTCTTAGGTAAGGTAAGAAAAGAATTTGTAAAAATCAATATCTTTTGACTTTTTCCTTGAGGCGTCTTAGAAACCCAGGTTAGCTAGACTGTCCTTTTAACACAGAAATCAATTCAGCTCGTCGGGCCCCGGTGTCACCACCAGACAAATTCCCCCCGACACAGAATTAGATTATCAGTCTAATGATGCCAAGTGAAACTGGGTTGACTGATTTCACTTATGAATGACACCATTTTTTATGTGGTAGCCTAAAATCAGAACAGGGGGTTTTTGTGTGTGTGTGTGTGTGTGTGTGCATGAGTGTGTGCCAGACGTCTGTTTACTCTGAAGAGAGAAGTCAGACAGACGCTGGTGGCAAGAGAAGGAGAGCAGTCTATCTTTTACTTGCTTATTGTTGTATTTTCACTCCATTGCATCGCAGAACGAATGCATTTTTAACGTTTCGGACAACGCTGCCCTCTTATGAGTTCGTGAAACAGTTGGATTTGGAGGAGTTATCGTTGCTCCAAGTTTGACGCTTCACAGTTCAGTGTTTTGACTGGAGAGACGTCAACATGATGGACCCAGAGCTCAGGTTCCTGGAGGTGAGGTGTCAATATGCTCTTTTTTACAGAAACTACAACACTGTGGTTCTTAAGGAAGGTGCTGACTGAGTGTTATTACATGTGGGCCTTCAGAATTGGCTGAATATTTAAAACATAAAGATCCTAAAGTTTCCTTCATAGCTGGAAAATCAATATTTTGGTGATAAATAGTCAAAGTGTAACGACATAATCAAATCTTTCACATAAGGTTGTTTATGACGAGTTGATACACCTTCATCAGAAAGAGTGATGTGTGTGATTTATCATAAAGTCCCACGAGAGTCTGTTGCCTCCAGGAAGAGTGGAGGCTCTGAGAAACAGCCCCTCTGGGACTCAAAGTGTGTCAGGACTCAGACTCTTGTTGTAAGCATGGGTGATGAATGGGCTGCAGAGTGTGTTTCTGTGAGATTTGAAAACAGGAGGTTGGGGATGTATGGTACAGACTTTAGTCTGGAAAATCAGCAAACACACCTCTAAACCAGCAAAATTTAGATGCAATCACATTTCTCAAGAATTCTAATTCCTCCATTCTTAAAAACTAATTTAAATTCCCCACATAGTAACCAGCTCTGACACTTTCAGGTCCGTCTGTGGATTATTCCAAGAGGAGATGGCAGAATATGTAAAAGCTTTTTTTGCCTAATTCTATTTTACCTCTGTGGGATCGACATAAATTGACACATAAATTGAGGCCTGTACCTACATCACCACAGTCTGATGCAATGCCTGCATTACCACCAACCTCACACCTTTCATGCTCCAACTTACCATCACTGCAAAGATGGCCTGCCATAATGGGCTTCAATCAGTTGTTGCTCCATGTGCAGGGCCGCCGTGTGGGTGGGGGTGAAGTTGGGACGATTGTAGGGGACTGTGACTGACAGGGGCCCTAAAAAATTTGACTTAGAATATTAGGTCATTTTTTCCAACATTAAACTGTTATCTTACCATTATTTATAGAATATTTTCTTTTTCTTTTCTTGATTTTGGAAAAAGTAAACATTCAGAGAACCTTTGTATCCCCCCTCTATTAAAATGAAATGGTTCGTTCCTGTCCCAAACCAGGCGCAAGGGCTATTAAGCTAGCAGTTTCGAGTGAGGAGTATCCCCTCTCTTCCTCCAAAAAAGAAACTTCCCACAATGGAAGGAAAGAAAAGAAATACAGGGCAGGAGAGAGAAAACTGGGGGAGACAGTATGTCATCAAAATGTACTCAAAGCAAGGTGGGTGTAGTTCGTGAGTGGTGTAAATCAACCTGTTAGCTTAGCCCATAGCGAAACAGGCTACTTACAGTATGTCCTTGTTATGTTGAGACCGAAATCAGCAAGAAACTGACCGGAAGCCTTTCAGTTTCCACTATGGATGCAGTATAAGACCTTATAATACATTTTATAATCTTATATTAATTATTTTATTAATCATCATTTCATTCATACATTATTAATAATTAATAATTAATCCTATAATCAGTCTTATAGTTCTTTCCGCCAGTTGAAGTCAGTTGAAGTCCCGGCAACTTTAAGGTAATGGGCTACGAGAGCTAGAGAACACGAGAACACAACATTGAAAACATTGGTTCCTAGCAAACATTTGTTCCCAAGCACAATGGAGGAGAAATTGACAATTGACAATTTTGAAGTGTCCTTGTTTGCTTACAGGCACTTGAATAAACAAAAAAGATGCATGGACAAAGGTGACATTTTTGTTTTCAGTTGGTGTAGCCTATAACATTTTGTGAAAATAGGAGGGAATTGCTTGCTAACTCGCACCATAGCGTGGAAACAGTGTTGCTTGACAACAACCGCTGAATGTTTGTCTTCATATAATTAAATGTGCAACTAGAACAAACAGGACATGGCTATTTACTAACTTGATTTATAACAATGATGCTGTCGAATGGCGTTCTTGGCAGGGCAGGGCGGTTTTTTTCTGCTTTCGGTCGAATGTACAGTGAGTGTTTACATGTCGCTCCTCTTTCAGCTGACATTTAATCAATGCAGGCAAACTTTTAGCTGTTCACACTAAATCAGTTGTCCCTACCCCTGCCTGGTGCCAGGCCCAACAGATGCAGCCTCAGGTTCAGCAGCCATGTCTCGTCATAGCCATACCAATGAACCAGCCCTACTCCCAACTGAAGAAGCAGGTGAGCAGCACTGTGTTGAATGACATGTCAGTTGGCATAATTGCAAGGGGGCAGTGGGAATTTCTTTTTTATTATTATGAATTAAAGAAAAGAGAGAGTTCAGTCAAAGACCCAGTGCCAAATTAGTTCTGACCCAGTCTCCAGCCTATGTTGACTAGAGACCCATCACTGGTTGAGTTGGATATTGGAGGTCTTTGGATCTCACAAAGACATCAGAATTTGAAAACTTCAACTAATATGATTCAGGAGCCTCTCTAGGCCAAGCATCACACAATTAAACCCCACTGTCAAAACATGCACGTAGGTTTTTTAACAGTGTACCATCATTCTTTGGATGCTTGGTCGACTGAAGCCCACTCAGAGCCTCAGGCTGGTTAATGAGTGCTGCACACTTGGTCTGTCAGTACACCTTGACCTCCTTTTTTCTAGGTCAAGGTAGAGGATTCAGTTTCTCTTCCACAGACCCCATAGGATTAGTATCTTGGTTCATATTTTTCATAATCAAATTTTTCAGTTTGCTTGTTTGACTTATGTCATTGTTTTTATTTGAATATTTGATAAGATAATATTACTGAAGATACTGATGATGATAAAGATGATGACATTCAAATTGTAGAATTTATTTCAGCACCAGTTTTATGTGAAATTAAATGTACCAATGTGCTTTAAGGCAAATGCAAGGCAAGCTGTCACAAAGAGAAGGATGAAATTATGCAAATTAAATTCTAAAAATGTAGTCATATATTTCAATGAATCACCCTATGGACTATATACGTGTCTTAAAACTACCTAGTTGTTTATGGCCTTGATTCATCAGACTGCCCAGTTTGCCTAACTCTTTGTCATGTAAGTTTTTCATAGTTGTCATGTAAAAACCTTTTTTTTTTTAATTTATTCTTGATCTCTTTGATTTATGCATGGCTGAGTGCTGGAAACCTTATGAAATCCCTGTGTATAGATGAAAATATCCATATGCATCATCATGGACATGACTAATATGTTTTGCAGGTGCATGGCTTCATCTGCCAGCAGCAACACTCCCACTCGCAGCTTACTGTCTTTGTGCCTGTGGTGTTTACAATTTCATATTTTTATGAGTGGAAATGAAGGCCTTGAGGAGATTTTAAGCATTCCCACAGTTCAGAGTTTAAGGCCTCTTCAGCTGCAAAACACTCAGAAATATATAAATTAATATTGAAGGAAGGAACATATAGCACTTTTATTGTAATTACAGAAAGGTTCATCTTTTAGTAAATTCCCTTCCTTTATGACCGGAGTGATTTTGAAGGTAAACTGGGAAAGATGGAGGAAAGATGACATAGCTCATGTATTTTTGTTGAGTTTTTTGCAATTGCTTTCTTTTTGAGAAACTGGTAGAAAAGCAAACACTTTTCTGTCTCCAAGGGGCAAAGTGAAGGACCGCGTTACTGAAAATTAATTAGAAATAATCAAATATAGAAACCTGAACAGTAGTTTATTTTGTAGGATGAATTTTGATTGCAAACAGTTAAAAAATGACACCCTTCCCCCTTCAGATTGCCCTGAAAAGTCAAAGAAAGATAGAAAGGAAGATGAACACGTTTAATTAAAGTAACACAAGGCTTTGCAATGAAATAATGATGTGTATTTGGATTTTTCATTGTATCCCAGAGAAGAAGAGAGGCAGTGCAGGACTTCTCAGTATTTTGTGACTTTAACCTGCTCTTATCAAGACTTTGCCTTAGAACCTTCTGGGTCAATTAACCCACTTAGGATCCTTTTTTTTTTTTTTTTTTTTATCAGAAAACACTTTACAACCAAACCTCAGTGGTACCAAACTCAGAGCCCTGCAGGTTTCTATCCTGGCAGCAGGTTAATTACATTCACCTGGCGTCCCAGGTGTAAATCAGTCCCTGATTAGACAGCAGGAGGGAAACCCACAAGAGTTCGGAGATCAGAGCGGAGAAGGACTCTCAGCTGTTTTGGCTTGTGACCTTTTAAAACAAAGTGTTGGCTGCTTACATACCTCTAAAGCTGTTCGGTGCCGCTGGTTGAAACATTCAGGTCTTTTTTTGTGCGTGATGCATTTTCGTGTTGATCCCAGTGATTAAATGGTTTGGTGAAATCGGTGTTAGAGGGTCTTATTCTTTGGAGGAGGCCAAAAGGCTCAAAACTACTTAATATTTTACAAGAAAATACAAACAAAAGAAGCAAAAACATGAAAATGAAGAACAATAACGGCATAAAGCAGTAAACATTTGCTTAATACATTATTTTCTGTCCAAATAATCAACTCACAATGACAGTAAAACACATAATTTGGTTCTGCAGTCTCCATATTAACAGTAGTAATTGAGTTCAGCACAGTACGCAGCAGGAACATGAACATTGTGTGCACATTTTAACGGAGAAAAAGGCATGAAGGCTGGTGCACAAGTATATGTGTGCAAAGAGAATGCAAACAACCACAAATGGTAGATTTAATGCACAAAGTAGCTTGTGGTCTAAAAAGACTGTGGAGAAGATTTCTGCCTTGGGGACATCAGTGAACTTCCCAAATACCAGCAGAGGTCAGAGAGAAAGAGATCATTTCCATGTGGTCTCTGATTCCAGCTGTTAAATATTTAATGGAGATGGGAAGAGAGTCCAACCACAAGCTTTGAGGATCTTTTCCTCCTTCTTGCTCTGTCCCTGCCCCTTTTCTCTTTCACTTCAGCCTCTCTTATCTTCACCTCCTCCACAACTTCCATCAGCTTCACCCTCCCTCTCTCTCTCTCTATCTTTATCTATTTCCTCTGAATTTTCAATCTGCGCCATTTTCCTCCCTTGCTCCATGTTCGTTAACCTCTTGCCTCTCATCCCGTCTTCATCATTCAGTTTCAAAGAAGCACACACACACTTGTGTTACTGTATGTCTCATGATTGTAACTCATTATGGTCATTCTTTAACCTTTGAAGGGGCAATCTGATTATCTTAATTCTGAATTTAAAGACGCATTAGTCTCTAAAAGGCAGTTAGAGATAATGGAGAAGACAAAGTTAGAGGATGAGGAAGAAGATGATGCCATTAACTGAACCATTTTGTCCAGTTTTGATGCTTCATGCCAAATAATGAATGAATGAAGAGGAGACAGCGGAGAGGAAATGATTGTGAGACCAGTTTTCTTTGGATGCAGCTTAATTTTGATTTCGCGCCTCTTTTTTTTCATTTGTGCACCGTTTGTTACTGTTGAAGATGAGACATCTAGTGCAAACTCTGACCATAAATGGAGGCTGAAATATTTCCGATTTAGATTTTGCAGAAAAAATTTAAGTATTTCATATCTAAAGCTGTGAAATTAGATACAGCTGTGAGCCAGGATTAGTTTCTGTAATAGCTTACCTTTAAACAGCGCAGTTGGCAACCACTTATTGGAAAATCTCCGACTCTTAAGGGGGAATTACTCAGTACTGCACTTCCATAAAGTTGCAAGAGACAGATTTAAAAGAAGAGTGGTCTAACGTGGTGCCAGAGAGGCCGAAATAACATAACTTTAAATCTCTAATATGGGTCAAGATCCAAAAACACAGAATCCTACACTTCCCATAATGCAATACTTCTCATGATACTCATAATTCTCACATTAAGTAAGCATTAATTAATCTTTGTTTGGCAGAGCTGATCCACTCACTGCACCACGATGTAACTGCCACCTATAATAATGTCACTCATTTCCAATAAAGAGGAGTAAGCTAGCGAATCAGAGCAGAGATCTAACAGACAATTCATCTGACAGCCTAATCAGTCATCATGGTGCACTCTGGGAGAATTAAACTGCTTTGTCACAACTGTTTTGGCTGTAGAACAAAGCTTTTAGTCTCTGCAACATAAACGTAACCATGATTGTCCAATCACGTGCTGGAACAACAGGCCTGTCAAGCCTTGGTTTTCTCTACACGTAGAAGTGGTGCGCATGGGGCTGTAGCGAAAGAGATATTCCACATTAAAAGAGTTTAAAAGAGTAGTTTAACAGTCTATTTGTTTTCTGCCTTTCCAAAAGCATGTAAGAACCAAACCAACCAAACTTCCCAAGGCCAAGGAACTGTTCATACATTATCGGATACAAAATTGAAGGCAATAGCCAACAAAACCAACGCTGTTCTTCATTTTCATGTCTTCTGTACGGATCATCAATGTAATGAACGTATGATGTATGTAGCGTTAACCATCAGGTGAAAAGTCTACCACTGTTTAAAATCGAAGACCTATTATTTCAAAAGATTGCTATAGATTTCAAGTAGTAAATTTGCTGCCATTATCGTCATTTTTCAGTCCTTGAGAGAGCATTTGGTCCTCGTATCTGCAGGCTGGTTTGTCTTTTAGCGTCTCCTCCTCCATCTTCGTTTGTGTGTGCCTTTTCTCTACCCCCCTGTTGCGGTCATTATTTTTAGATGGGATAGTGGGCACAGTGTGCGTGAGTGTGTGCTGGTGGGGTTTGTGTCTTCGGGGCTTTCTCTGTGACACCTATCAGTTTGCATTCAGTCACTTGGCAGCAGGAAAGGCCAGCTGGTTACTCGTCCGTTTGATTGTTTCGCCTCATTCTCCTCTGAAGGGATTTCAGATGAAGCCTCAGTCCAATGACATGCAGAGCTATAATCCCATAATTTATTTCCGAGGGATATTGTAACCCTAGATGTTACAGAAGGGCTTTTAGTCCCTGAAGTGATACTGTGGGAATAGTAAGGTTACATCATCAGAGGTAAAAAAAAAATACCAAAAAGAGCGCTGTAACACACTTTGGGAATATTACACCACTTTACTAACACTAATTCACAAGAAAACTATAAATACCAGTGGTTAGCATAGAAGCCTTAGTATTACTTTTGCTGTTAGGCTGCAGGAAAATAATCAGTGTGTTATGTTTTACTATATCTAAGTTAAAAATACTGCTGAAAACTTCTAATGGCATTATACAGTCATTTTTAATGTAATGAAGGCATGTGTTATTAATTTGTCAGAAAAACAGATTGCTAATTATACC